AAAAAAGTTTTCCCGGTTCCTCCTGCTCCATAGATAAAGAATAATTTTCCCTCTTGATTTAGCACTGATTTGAGCACACTATCGTAAACGATTTTTTGGTCCTTGTTGAGCTTCTTCAATAACTTCTCATGTAATTCCTTCTCTTCAGTAATATTGAAGTGAAACTCTTGCGTAAGTTTTGAGTTGTTGATTTCTTCCAAAATCGTCTTGTTTGGTTTGGGCATATCTGAAAAATCCATTAATGATCTGTCATGCTGACGTAGGAGATTCTCAATTTCAATCAATGTGTAATGTTGTAGTTGTGGGGATTCTAGTTGTAGTTTTGGGAAACTCAGAACTTTTCTTTGTTTCCGCAACACGTCTTCTGCCATGTTTTCCCAACAATGATTCCAAAGTTTGACTGGTTCTGATACCTCACAGTATATCAACATCAAGACAAATAGGCATCTGAGTAGGTAAGCTGTTGCCCATTGTGATGACTCATCCATGGCATCATGCCATTCTTTGTCCTCCTCTAGCAAACCCCTAGCATAGCATGCAGCTTTATAAGAAGTCTGTATTTGGCCTCCAACCGTCTTTAAATCATCAAAACTTGTTGGCCCTCTCGATATGTTGACCAAAATTCGAAGATAGTATAGTTCACCAGCGCTTGGTAGAATGTTGACAATTCTGCCAATGCTCCCTCTTTGCTTTCTCACTGAATACATTTTGTCTTTATTATTCCATGTGAACATTGTTAGGAGTTCGACATATCTTAATTTCCTGGAATCTTCAGAGATCTTATTTAATTCAAACCATTCCGTAAGCATTGTCCTCCCATGTGCATAACGAAATTGCACATTATCTAATGTTTCTTCCTCATCAAATACTGTACTTTGCTGTCCAGGCAGGTGAATTGGTAGCTTTTGAACTGCAGGGTTGTGGTGGTGAATACTGAATGTAAATATTCTCCACATGGCTTCACATGCTGATAAGTACCGACAATCCAAATAATCATTTATTTCATCCTTTATTTTCCCCTTTCCGCCGCGACCTTGTGTTCCTGCATCCTCATTGCCTTCTTTTTGGATGATAAATGTAGCTCTATCCACTCCTTTTGTAATGTATTTGAAGAGATATTTAATGGCTGAAGACTTATTGCACCATTCAACATTGATGTGGGCTTTGTACTTTTTCAGAAGCTTGACATTGTGTGGCACGACAAATCGGTTATCCAGTTTGGTCTCTCCCTTCATCACAAATCTGCCATTTTTTCGCCTTTGATATAAAGCATACCCTGACTCGTCAAGTCTTGTGTTCTGAACAAATGGTCTCGGGTATTTTTTCAAACATTCACCTTTTTCCATGCAAGGAGATCTTGGACGGTCCTTTCCACAAGGTCCATGCATCATGTGTTGCTCTACAAGTGTGTATGCTTCTGGATCTTTTTCTTTATCCGGGATTTCTGCAGAAATTAAGCTATCTATATCCTCTGGTGTTGGGTTTCTTAGATTTCCCTGTAGCCACAAAAGGATGTGTGCGTGTGGTAGTCCTCGTTTTTGGAATTCTATTGTGTATACCACTGTTTTAAAGGGACAAAATATATATTTTGTGTTAGTGGTTTAGTTTTCTAGTATAATTATTTCAGAGTTATTTTAGAGTATCTTACCTGCGACTGGCTTTGGGAAAAATTTGCCTTTGTTGAAGTCTGCTAACAGCTCATCCAGCTTTATCTTGAAAACTCTGCATTCTAAATCCGGCCTATCATTTGCTGCATCTTTCCCATATGTCTTCAAATGGTTTGTGATTTCTTCCCACTTTGGATTAGTGGTCATTGTTATGAATAAATCTGGCTTTCCGTACCACCGACATATTGCCATTGCGTCATGGTATTTTTCCACCATGTAACGTGGACTTCCAGTATAGCTTGCTGGTAATATCACCTTTTTTCCAATTGACTTTGCATCTGTGTCACCCCTGCTTACTGCATCTTTGACGTTGTTGTAGAGTTCAGCTCTCAATGTTTTTTGATTGTTGCGATACCAACGTAACCGTTCTTGTTCGATTGATGTATATGCGTCGACTATATATTGATGCAGTAGTCGTTTTGATCTCACAATTGTCATCCCCTCTGTTAGTCGCGTCTGAATCTGATAAGCATAAAATTCTCGCTTAGTGATGAATGTTCTCTTCCTGGTATTCCTTTCCCTTTCAGCCACAAGTATTCCTTCGTGAAATCCAATGTCGCCGTATGGAAATAATAGTGGATATTGTAGAGACATGAACAGAGGGTGTAAATCACTGATCTTTTGTAATCCAGATGACTGATGCCTTACAATCACATCCCTTTCTCCTATAGTGTTTTCAAAATCCCCCACTATTAAACCTGCTATTTCATCCGTTGTTGGCAAGTCATATTGCCTGCCCCGTTTCTTCTGGCCGATTAACCTTATTCTCAGCTCTTGCGAATCCCCTTTTTCATATTCGTCTCTGGCTTTTCTGAAAACCTTTGCCAAACTATTGTAAGTATCTACTGTTGTAATAAGATCCCTCACAATATTCTCATCTAGTTCACCGACTGTTGTAGTCCTATTTACCGTTGAAATTCTGTTTTTCACCTCGTTTGCTGTATCAAAAATGTATAGCTGCAAATACTTTGGGGTTTGTCCTTCTTCTGGCACTAAAGATCCAATTCTATGGTAATTCTGCCCATGAATTCTATAAGTGAAGGGACCTCCACCTTTGTTCATCACAGATTTATCCAACTTTGCACCCATTGATGTGAACGCCAGGAGTGAATTGAAAATCCTTATATTTTGCTGGTAGTGAGATGATTGAATTTGCAGTTTCTTCAGTATTGGTGGTGGTTGTGGCTCCGGCGATAATTTAACCCGTCCTTGTTGACAACATATAGTAAATAGTGGAACTTTGTTTGGTCCTTTTGTTCCCATTTGCTCTTGTTTCCAGACCAATGCGTCACAAAATGGACATTGTTTCATTCCGTTAATGCCTTCGGAATGAGCTGTTGAAGATTCAGGTGTGTCTTGTTTTTCATTGCCTACAATTGTTGGAAATTTTAAACATGTGCAATAGTTATATTTTAAAGCGTCTGTTTTTTTGTTTACCATTTCTTTGTGGAGGTCTTCCTTTTTGTTTTCTATGTTCTCTCTTGGATTGTATAATAGCACGTCGTATTTGGCGGGCATTGCTTTGTTCATCTGCAATTTTTTTTGGTTAATATGTTTTACATTAGGTGGACATGAATGATTGTCGTTTCTCAAACCTTTTGCCACCTATAATTACCTCGCTTTTGTGTAATCCAGGGTGGACAATTTGCAGTTGACGCAGCTACACCTGTATCAAGAGTGAACGTTTTTGTAAGTTGCTTCTGCTTAATATTTTAATTAGCACTGAGCCAAAGTTAGGTGCTTCGATATTCTGATTATAATTTTGAATCGGCAAAAAACTTACTTGTCCCAATTAGATTGGTAAGAGGGTCGTCTGTAAAATATGTTTTCCTTCTTTTTGTCTCTTCTGTCTTGGTTACCCGTTTGCGTTTTCGATCTGTTAATTTATCACCGTTCATCATGACTCAGTACTCTCAGAGGCTACTTTTTTACTGCTGTTCATTGTTGTTATGATTGCATTTTGGTGGTGATATGTGGTTCTCGATGTTTTTGATTTTAATATTCTAATGTGTTGTAGGGGTTATGTTGTGGAATAGAATGTTAACCGTCAGACTTGTTGCACCCTTAATTGTTTATTGGTAATTTTAGGTTAGAAGTTGATGTTTGATCTACCTTTTTTAAAAGGTCTATTGTTTAATTTTATTTAAATTTTGTTTCGGATGGCTCTTCATTTCGCCACATTTTAGTTAAAGCTCTTTATAACTATTCATTTACTTAATTTTTTTTGGTCAGTAATAGAAATGTTTTATTACAAACATGATTGATTCACTCCTGTATGCTCGCCATGAGTCCCTTTTTTAATTCGTTAGTGGAGGCATTCTTTGTCGATTTGTTGTTATTATTATTCTTTTGAAGTTATATATTTCCGGTTTCCTTCATCCATAGTGGTTAGTCATCTTGGAATTTAAACCCTTTTTTGTTGTTTCTGCTGAAGTGTAAATTTTGAAGGAAATTGAAAGGCTTGTTTTATTGATTTTGCTAAGCGAAGCCTATATTTTTTTGAAGTAAATTATTGTTTATGATGATTTCTGTGGGAGCACCCTTTTTTGCTTGTAGAAGCCAAAATTTAAATGTTTAAAGTAATCATAAAGGAGTTGGAATTATTACAAAATATTAAAAAACTTCACCGCCGTGAAGTATTGCAAACATGGATAGATATAAAAATGCAGAAACAACTTGCTCTCGGTGTGTATACGACCGTAGACTCTTAAACTGGGAAATTTTTAAAACATAGTTTCCAACTCCGTCTCTTTGTCACTTTGTGAAGTTACATGACACAGAAAAATTTTGCCATTTGCTTAAAGTAGAAACACTCTGCGCATGTGTTCTCAAGATCGTGGAGGTGGCAAACTTTGGTAGGTTTCATTTTCCTCAGTGACCTGAGATAGCATCTTTTTTTGGATACTCTTATTCCATGCAATGATGTCTTGATGTTTTTCCAACAGGTGTTCACCGTTGTTTTGTCTTCCGCCCATTTGAGTTTGTCGAAATATGTTTTCCCTTCTGCAGTCTCCCCTTTGCACAATAAGATAATTGGTTCATTTTAGAAATGTAGTGATCAAATTTTACACGATTTCGGTTCTCGAGAACGTTAACCAAAGTATTTTGGTGCGTATTTTGGTTTAATAGTGAAGAGCACATTTGATATGTTAAAAAACCGTCTGGAATCCCTTTATTTAATTTTAAAGTCTGGTCTCCCGAAGAGACTCAGTGTTAATAAAAAAGAAATGGACTGAAAACGATAAGAAACTAAGTGCATGAAATTTAAAGCAAGAGAACGGAGACGCTGATTATTTCTGGGAAGACGGTTAGACACTAAGCCCATCGTAGGAACTACTCAGGGGCACGTTTCCGTTTGTTTTCACCTTCATTGCCATTATGATTTGTTGCCCACTCTTCCTTCATGTTAGTGGTATCTGGTTGCTGGGGTGGTGGCGGTGGCATTGGTGGGTTGACTTGTGGAAAGTCTTGAGGTGTGGATTCAGGGGTCATTGTTGAGACGGTGAAAGTTCTATGTTTTGGTGTGAAGTTGAACGGAGTAACTTTGATCTGAAAAATAAATTCTTTCCCAGCGAGGCTCTTTAAACAGCTTGGTAACTCATTGTGTTCATCACCTTCACCCTGCATTTTTTCGATGTTAAGTAATCTTCTCTTTGTTATCATTGTTTTTTTTTTGTAAGAGATTAAAAATACCTCAAGGAGGAGAGTGGCAGCAGGTTTGGATGTTAGCTTTGTCATTTCTGTGTCAAAAACCACAAATGTAGCTCCGTCAACACCATCGTGGACAGCTAGTTCCACCCGGTACCTACAGAACTTAATGGTTATAGCTGTTATTCTGTGCATTTCAGTTGTTGGGATTGTATATTCTCTACCTTACTACTCCTGTTACATCCGGTGAAACGCATTTGTTGCAACGTAAGGCATGGCCAGACTTTTCCAGCTTCCTGCTACACCCAGCACATGACACATACGACCACCCATTCCTTTGAAGTACACCCACAATTGTTGCTTTGCAGAGGAATTCTGCCTCTTGGATCTGATAGAAGGTTTGGTGTATGTATTTTATTCATGTTTAATGGGACAAATAATATTGTGTGAGGTAAAAGTTTAGGAAGTTACCTGGTCTTTGCTTTGTGAAAGGTAGTCATGTAGTTCTTTGATGGAGAGTCTTTCCTTTTTCTGGACACCCTCTGATGTTTCTGCTTGACCGAAAGGAGTTGCTGCCTCAATGGACAAACTATATGTAATGAAGATGGGGTTTTTTAATTAGAATGTATATGTGTGTTAAAATGGCTGATTTGTTAAGTGCGACAAGTGTCTGTGTGGCATTTCTTTGTTTAAAGATGTGAGTACACATTCCAATAAGCTTTGAAATGACAAACCTTTTGGTAAACTCTTGAATTGCTTCTATTTTTGGGTCAAAGTAAAACTTTGTTGCTGGAGTGGAGTTAAGGAACAGGTTTCCTGCTAATATAGAGCATATCAATATTGTAAAAGAAAAGTTGAGATAGTAAATTTTCAAGCCACAAAGCTATCTCAGTGTATTAGCTTGGTTGAATGGTTACCTCCAAAGAGCTTCGGGTTGACCGTAGTGACCAGCATGACAGAGGACAACTTGTTTTCAGAGGAAAGGTGTGCACGAAAGGTTGCAGCGGCGTCATCCCAGAGTGAAAGAGATACAGTAACAGATCTGCATCGAAGGTTATAAATGTCAGTTTGCAGATCTATTTCCTTTACATCAAATGTATAATTTCAAAAGTGGTTAGATGTTTTACGAATCAATTTGGAACCGGACGACCAGACGTTGCGTGGAAGAAGCGTCTCTTAGGTTGGAGCCTTGAACAAAACGGATGTGGCCAACAACATCTGTACGGGCACAATATGTGTGTTTACATGTGTGATTTTGAGATTGGTAACATGTTGTAAATTATTTTGTAGTAGGCCTTACCAGGAAGTTCAAGATTGGTGTTTGCCAAAGCTTGGAGGTGGTCTAGCTTCCGTAGCATGAATTTTTCTTTTGCAATTGACCGCCCAACATCTGAGACGTCGGAAATTGTGGTCCCATGTAGAAAACGGATCACAAAAGGGTGGTCTGTGATTTTGTAAAGGTTTGTGCATCGGCCCACTTCGAAGTCGGTGAGTTTGACGATGAGGCCTTCTCGTAACTGCTGACGGTATTGGCTTGCACGGACAGCTGGTATGAATCCATGTATGACTGAGTTCTGAAGAAATAATTACAAATGATTAGCAGTGATATAAAATTTAATATTAGATGCATGAATGAGTTAATAATGTTTGACATATACGACCTTCTCATCCAACAGGAGGAGGACGATGCCCATGAACTCCCCATCTTTTTTGATATTCTTCGCATCCCAGAAACGGAGAAGGCGGCCAACAATTTCCTGAGAAGAGCGACCTAAGCGTAAATCATCGAATGTGACATAGTTAGCGGCAGCTGGGATTGCAACAAAATCAATTGAAGCCATTTTGGAGTTTGAATTGGGTTTCTTTTACAGGATGAAGCAGTGTAGTTGTGGTTAAGGTGGGGAAGAGGGGCTAATTTATATATACAGTCTGAGAGATTACTGTTACGGCTACGAAGGAGGTGGATGATTGGAAGGCGAAGAGTTTTGGAATTGAAGATTAACATCATATTAGAAGATAGTGGGGGAAGAAGTTATTTTGAAAATTAATTACCTTTGAATTCGTTGAACAACAGTCGATAAGCATTCCCTGACGAGCTTACGTTTAGGTTGAAGAAAACGATGGAGGCGGTCAAGAAAGAAAGACTTTGTTCACGTTTTTAAGAGTTTTGTTTTTAATAGGCTCTGTTCACGTTTTTAATAAGAAAAAGAGTGCTGATGTGGACATAAAATCCACGTAAAATCCATAACACATAAAAATTTATTTCCAAGTGAAACTTAAAATTTAGGAAAAATTTAAACTATCGATGTAATGAAATTTCACTGAACACTAGAAAAATAATTAAGACAAAATGAAAAATTTCCTTTTTTTTTTTTTTTCTCTCTTCTGTAATTCACTTGTTCCTTTGTCCAAAAAAAAAAACTACTAAAAAGCGGCCCAAATTTTAGTGTTATACAATATGGGCCTAAAATAATAAAGATCCATTAATATAATTCCCCTAATTCGGTCTCTCGATGATTCCGTCTCTCTATAAGAGCAATGCCCTCTAAACCCTAACTCTTCAAATCACAGTCGATCTTAATAGGCGTCGACATTCTATCTTCATCTTCATAGCTTTTCAATTCATTTTTTTTTTTGTTTTGGTTTGATTGTCTTTGTAAATGTCGTTGAGATCGCTTTCGAAAGGCGTTGCGCTCTTCGTCTAGGGAATTAAGTACCCTGAAGGGCGTGTCACCGGAAGCGTATATCCAAAATCTTCAATCCGATCGATAGGTTGCGAATTCGGACTCGTTCGAATGAGCATACCTCGTTCCGATGGCTAATTTTTAGCCATCGATTAATCGTGTTTGAGATATTTGATTTAAATTTTGTCCCCTTTTTTTAATTTATAAAATTTATCTTGGATCTGAATTGAATTTCTTGAAATTGACAATTAGAATGGAATTGCTTCATAATGGTGAACTCTCTTAGATATTAAAGTGAGGGATGTTCAAGTTTCCGGAGCAAAGATCAAACTGGCCAGAATTTAACAGCTCTGTGATTTTATCTCTATTTTCACAGTGTTACCTGTCTTCTGGTATATATATGTCCCAAAGTTAAAAATATTTATGTGTCCCAAAGTTAAAGTATTTATGTCTCCCAAAGTTAAAGTAAATCATGGTTTTGATTTTTTGGTTCTGTCATGATACGATTCTTTTTTTGTTTTTGTTTCTGTTTAGGAGGTCTTTTGCTATAATATTAGAACACCATTAGAACAACCAAATTAATTTTTGGCTTCTAATAAACTATATAATACGTAGCAGCCACAAGATAATGAGCTCCAACATAATAGATCGATAATCTAAACCTTTTTTTTTTTGAACATCCTCGATAATCTTAACCTAAATGTTACCATAAACATATTAGATTTAACAGATTAAACAGACACTAATTAGTAAGGGCATTCGATACACTCAGTGGCCCAATTTTGAGTTGTACTAGAACACTTGCGGAATATGTATGAAGGCCGAACGACGTTCGATTTTTAAGTGCAAACCGAACCTTTTAAACCGGAATTGTTAATGAAATGAAGAAAACTAAAATCTAAAAGAGAGTTGAGATATGATATGCAGATTTTGCATTTTCTAGCGTTCATTCTTCGAATTTTTTACGTAACTTGGGATAATGCCTAATAACAAACACAATATGCATTTTTGAACCACATACATTACTTGACGTAAACAACAAGGAAACGTCTTGTTCTTGAAACAGACCAATCCCCGAAATCTTCCTTTAGCATAACGAGCACCAAACGCATGATGAATTCTCTCTTTGAATCTTTGGTTTACATATCTTTACGAAACATAAACTAAAAACCTTGGAAACCAATTCTCATGTTTGTTTCTACTAGAAAAAAGATCCACTGAAAGAAACTACACAGAAATGTCTAATGAAAACTCCGTAATGCCATTGATAGATCGCATCTCTGCTCATCTCTGTCTTCAAGATGTATCAATTGCTTTATTAAGTCTTTTTCTTTTCTGTTGCTTGCGTGCTAAGCTAACCAACAAAGGCGGACCAATACAATGGCCGGTGTTTGGGATCACTCCCGAGTTCTTCTTTCACATCCACGATGTGTACGGATGGATCACAAGGTGTCTAACGAGAAGCCAAGGAACGTTTCCTTACCAAGCAATCTGGTTTAGTGGATCTTATGGAGCCATGACCAGCGTTCCTGCAAACGTCGAGTACATGCTCAAAACCAACTTCAAGAACTTCCCAAAAGGTGACTTTTACAAAGAGAGATTCAGCGATTTGTTGGAAGAAGGAATCTTTAACACTGATGGTGAATCTTGGAAAGAGCAGAGACGGATTATCATAACCGAAATGCATTCGACTCGATTCGTCGAGCATTCTTTTCAGACCACGAGAGATTTGATACAGAGGAAGCTCTTGAAAGTGATGGAGAATTTCTCGACATCACAAGAAGCTTTTGATCTTCAAGAGATTCTTCTGCGGTTAACGTTTGATAATATCTGTATCGCTGGTCTCGGTGATGATCCTGGAACTTTGGATGATGATCTTCCCGAAGTTCCATTCGCTAAAGCTTTTGAAGAAGCAACAGAGTCCACTCTGTTTCGGTTCATGATTCCACCGTTTTTGTGGAAACCTATGAGGTTTTTGGATCTAGGGTATGAGAAAGGGCTGAGGAAAGCTGTTGAGACGGTTCATGAGTTTATAGACAAGATGGTTGTGGACAGAATCACGATGCTTAAAGAAGAAGGATCATTAGAGAAGAACAAATCCGATGTCCTCTCGAGGCTAATCCTTATCGAAAGTCACAAAAGAGGCAATGAAAATGATCGATTCACAGTCAAGTTTTTCAGACAGTTCTGCACAAGTTTCATCTTGGCGGGACGTGACACGAGTTCCGTTGCGCTTACATGGTTCTTCTGGCTGATGACAAAACATCCGGAGGTTGAAAACAAGATCCTCGGAGAAATCAGAGAGATCTTGAGACAAAGAGAGAACAATCTTGAATCCGAGGATACAAAGAGTTGTGTCTTCACAGTCAAGGAACTTAACGATATGGTTTATCTACAAGCGGCATTGTCGGAATGTCTTAGACTCTATCCACCGATTCCAATGGAGATGAAACAAGCGACAGAAGAAGACGTGTTTCCAGATGGAACTTTCTTGAGAAAAGGTTCAAGGGTTTACTTCTCGATCTATTCAATGGGAAGGATGGAATCGATTTGGGGAAAAGACTGTGAAATGTTTAAACCAGAGAGATGGATACAAGGAGGTCAATATGTGAGTGATGATCAGTTTAAATACGTCGTGTTCAATGGCGGTCCGAGGCTTTGTTTAGGGAAAACATTTGCTTACCTGCAGATGAAAATGGTGGTTGCTTCCATCTTGTTGAATTACTCAATTAAGGTTGATCAAGATCATGTGGTTATTCCACGTGTTACAACGACTTTGTACATGAAACATGGTCTTAAGGTCCGGATCATGCCGAGATCTATGGAGAAGAAGAAGCAAGATTCATAAGTAAAGATGAAAAAAACAGTTAAATTGTAACTGAAATATTATTCATTTATATATGGCTAATGTAAGATCTTCACCCTTTGTTCTGTCTTAAATAGATTAGGCACTTAAATAATCTTTGTTAGTAAAATTTACAGTGTGTGTAATGCAGATCAAATATATACAAAACAAGAATTGCACTCAAAAGGTACCATAAATTGGGAAAAACTTATAAGTATGATCCTATACACACTTCAGCACTGTGAGTCTGTGAGAGCTAGATGTGTCCAATCCGGTTTAATCGATTCAATAACCAAACCCAAGAGAAAACAAACCGATTCGGTCCAATAGTAGACATCCTAGTGAAAGCTACTAGAACTTTTTTCTTGAATACCTTATCAGACTGATAAAGGTTTATGAAGAAATGTCTTTGAGTAAGGACTGATTCGAAGAAAAGGTTTCGTTTTACATCGGCTTCTCGTGCTAGTAACAAGCTTAAACCATTGGCTTTTGGGATTGCAACTAGCATTTCCTTCTAAACATTTGCAGCTTTTTGTGACAATGTTGTTACTATCCGAATCAACATCCAAACAAACAGATTCTCCATTCTTTGTAAACGACGAGAGCTGCATCTTTGATTCAGACAAAAATTTCCATTTTGAACAGTAAGATTCTGAGAAAAACAGACGCAGCTTCACAGGATCTCCTATCTCGTAAGCTTTTAAGCAGAAGATTTGTTCTTCTGTTAGTGACAAAACTCGATGAGAAGAAAGTTTAAAGCTTTCTGATCTATTGCAAGAACCAAGCTTTAGTTGAAACAGTGATTTTCTCACTATGCAAAGTCCACTCGAAGGATGGAAAATTATCTTCTTTGGCTGAGTTTCCATTAGACCTGGTCCTGAATATTGCAAAGTTGTTTGTTTTTTAACTCGTGTGGAAAATGTCAAAATACAAATGTGTAAGAACATCAATGTACCTCGAAAAGGAGACTGAATTGCAGAAATCATCTGCAAAATGATTGAATTCCTTATGCTTGACCAATTCAAATCCAAAACTCCAAAAGATTCATCTGATCCAATGGTTTTCTCTCTTACATAATAGCTTCCTGCAAGAGTCCATAGCGCCCAATCTAGATCAAGATCTGCAGCTAAAGCCATAAAGCAGCTTAGAAACCTATTGTCATTAACATTATTCCCTCTTTGATCAATCCCAAACTCGCTCACAAACAACGGAATCCCTTTCTCGAGCAAGAATCCGGACATTTTCATTATGTTTTCAGTTTCTCTCCCGCAAATCTTGTTCAAGTTATCTCCCTCCCAAGAACTCCAAAACCCATACCAATGGATCTCAAACACCAGTTTCCTCCTGAAGCTAACTTCAAACGGTCTGTCTCGGAGAAACGATAAGTCAGTATCGTAATTTAAACCGGAGACGATGACAAGAATGTCCGGATTCACTGAATGAACTGCTTCAGCGCCTTTTCTCATATACTTGTACCAATCTTTGATGTTCTGTTTAGGACCTCTAAGCTCATTCCTCAGACTCATACCAACCACATTTGATGAGACGTTAGCAAACATTGATGCCAATTTCATTAGCCCTTTGATCCAAAGATTAGGGTTTAAATGTCTATCGCCGAAGAACCCGTTTCCATCATTGTCACTGCAACACCAACCAGGTTGGCTTATGTGATTGTCTAAGACCACCATTAATCTATGATTTCCAAGACAAGTAACCACTTCCTGTTTCAGAACAAAAAAACTCTTATCTTTCTTAATTTTGAAACACCTAATTGATTATCATGATTCTTTCTTAACAAGCTAAATCAACAACACTCAGAAATTTCCAGGAAAATTGTTGAAGAGTAGACTAAAATTAATGCTCGATTTCTCCTGTAAATGGTAAAACTCAAACTTAAACTTCAGAGATAGACCACAAACTAAAACTAATGGTCGATTTCTCCTGCAAGAAGATAAGAGTCCCAGGAACAAAAAAAAAGAAACTTTTTCTAAATTTTGGACTATTTTGGGGTCAAGAAGACAAAAGGTCAAAACTTTCCGGAAAAAATCAAGAGCCCATATAAGCAAAATTGATTTTTTGTTTACCTGGAAAGCTTTGATTAGGGGAAGATCAAGAATAGAGGGATTATTAGCTTGAAAACCAGAGACAGCTTCAAAAAGACCAAACTTGCGAAGGGATTGTCTCACGGTCATAATCCCAGAGAAAGATTCATCGGTGGCTAAGTAGAGAGGCCAAGTCAATCTAACGCAATTGAAACCCATTAAAACGATCTTCTCGGCGATCGAATCTATAGGCTGTTTGCTCAACCCTTCCGCAACCGCAGTTTCTAGATGCGACGGCCAGTTGACGCACGTGAGCTTCACGCGCCGCCCTTTAATGCCATCGTCGACGATCCACCGTGAATCGGTGGAGAGAGGGAAAGCGAAGGAGATGTTGGTTTGGACGAAAAGAAGAAGAAGAAGAAGAAGAAAGACAGAGACGAAGAAGAATCTTTCCATTTGTGTTTCTCTGCTTCATCTAACCTCTTTCTTTTACCGCCAACACGTATATATGTATAGTTCGAAACAGCGTGTAAAATGTCCAATTTATTTTGTGAATTTTGTAATAAGTGGAATGGTCATGTAATTAATTTATATTTTTGATTATGTCTCATTCTTTTTTTTTTAAATGTTATCTTTATAGGTCTTTTTGAAGACTATGATTCTTCTTTTACTAAAAAGCTTTTCATGACTAAATTAATTATTAATCTCATACATATATCTCTTTTTTTTTAGAAAGAAAACCTCATTTCTTTACTTACTGTCTAACTTTAATTAAAGATCTTTAAGCATTTATCTGCTGACTTTAACGATCTTAAACCACTGGCTTGTCGGATCACAAGAGCTGTCTTCGCCCTTCACACACTTGCAGTTCGTAGCCACGATGTTTTTGTGTCCATCGACATCAAGACAAAGCGAGTTATCGGATGACTTCGAAGCTAAGAGCATATTAATAGAGCCTGAGATGGTTTGCCATTTGGACAAATTAGGGCTCCAGCAACTCGTCTCACTGAGCTTAACCCGCTGATTCGGTCCAGTGTTCTCCAAGCATAGAGACTTGTCTTTAATTTTCAAGGTGTTGTCAAGAGTGTAGCTCCACTGTGGAGATGTATTACATGTACCGAGAGTGACCTTATTTGGATCTGATGAAGTTTGTACCATGCAAAGTCCGGTTAACGGGTGGAAAACAAGATTGTAGACTTTTGGTTGAGGGACTGGTCCTGGTAAACCAAATTAGCAAAGAATTGTGAGATGTTAATTAATTATGTCTACATGAAGAAAAATGTATATACATATAAACGAAGGGATGACATAAACAAATATTGCAGCTAACATATTTACACCTAAATAAATAAAAATTATTAAAGTTAAGAAATCTTGTATTTCATGAAATATAGCTTCGTATCCAATATTTTAATATATAAAGACTAAACTTTAATCTAAATTTTTTAAAATATCAATAATAGCTAATTTTAATAAACTTATATTATAAACTTTTAATTATCATTTTAAGATATCTCCTAGATAATTATGTTGTTGTAATTTACAAAAAGATTAATGCTACATATCTCCCATAAAATCTCAAAAATTTTGGAATTGGTAAAAAGTTATTTTGATCATCAAAAACATGAAGATAAATACCTTGAAGCAGGGTTTGAATCAGAGATAATCTTAGCAAGAAACCGATGCTTCGAATACTAATCCCATCAGAATCCAACATACCGTAATACTCAACCATTCCAGCCACACCCTCTCTGATATAATAACTTCCCGTAAGTGCCCAAATCGACCAGTCTACGTCATTTTCCGCCGCCCAACCTAATATACATCCGATATATCGATTATCGTTAACGTTTCCGCCTCTCAAATCTATTCCAAACTCACTAAGAAACACCGGAAAGTCACGGAGGTTGAAACCGCCTCCGTCGTCGATGATTTTCTGAACCTCTCCGCATGCGTCGTTAGGGTTTTTGGAGCTCCATATTTCTGTGTTTGTGAAAGCGTATCGATGGAGCTCAAAGACGAGTTTTCCGGAGAAAGTTAGGGTTACAGGTCGTGATCGGACGAAAGAGAGGTCGGTATCGAAGCTGAGGCCAGAAATGATCACAAGTACGTTAGGGTTTGCTCCATGAACTGCCTCTGCTCCTTGTTGCATGTATCTATACGTGCATATATTATGAATGCAGCAAATTCAAATTAAACCAACATATATAAGAAAGTCAAGTTACGAGTAAGTTATACAAATACTAATTATACATACTTGAACCAGTCGTCGACGTTTTGTTTAGGTCCTCTAAGTTCGTTTCTGAGGCTCATACCAACGACATTGGAGACATCTTTGAAGATTGTGGCCATCTTGGTCAAACCAGCGATCCACGTGGCAGGGTCAAAGAAAGTGTCGCCAAAGAAACCGTTGCCGTCATCGTTGCCGCAGCACCATCCTGGCTTGGTTGAGTGGTTGTCTAATATCACCATCACATTGTGGTTTCCCAACGTAGCCACCAACCTCTTCAAAAACAAAAAAAGGTTTGATTTTCAAAGGAAATTTTGTTGGTCTAAATTCAATTAGATTTTTTACCAAACTGATAGTTGTTAATACAAACTTACATTCATTTGTTTGTATATACAAATTTAGTTTTTATAATGTACTAAAGCATAAATTATTAGATTTGTTAATTATTTTATTTTGTCAGAAAACATCCAAGAAATTAGATATTATAATACCTTGTAAGCTTCAATGAGTGGAAGATCAATCATGGATGGGTTATTTGTTTGGAAACCAGACATGTCAGCATTAAGACCAAGACTTTGAAAAGATTGTCTCACAGTGACATTAGTAGCTAATGTCTCATTTGTAGCCAAATCAAGTGGCCAAGTTAACCTAACACAATTGAAACCCATTGCCACTATCATCTTGGCAACGGCATCAACCGGTTGCTTGCTCAGCCCCTCCGCCACCACAGGTTGCAAATGCGCTGGCCAATTCGCACACGCCAGCTTCACTCTTTGTCCTTTTTCGTCGATGATCCAACGAGATTTTGTAGACAGAGGATAGGCCATATTTTTTGTGATGAAGGAGAACAATAAGAAGAAGATGAAGCAAAACATGCGTTTTAGCACTTTAATTTTCTTCATGTTAAATTTGTTTTGAAATTTTTCCGTTAACTTTTGTTTTGTTGTGGTGTTGGTGAATCATATGGAAGAGACATTGAACATATATAGAGGGAAGGATGTAGATGTAAAATTCAATTGTATCACGACAGGAATTCCTTTTAGTATATTTTTCGTTTCTCCTATGCTAAATCATACGATGCAATATTCGGTAGGGACTATTGACTGTATATATGCATGCATTTTTTTTTGTTTTTTTCTTTTCGTAAAAAGTATAAAATCAGTACATAAAACACATATAAGAACAAAAAACTCAATATATAAGTTTATAAGGGTAAAACAGGATTTCTCAAATAATGATATACATATGGTTTGTAAAATATATCAGATTTGATGTTACTTTGAGTATTGAATTGGAAACACTAAATAATCTGTCAAATTTTTTTCTATATATATATATATGTATGTATATATATCAGAATATATTAGTTTTTCTCTAAACTTATTTTTAATTTTCTCCTGTGTATTTATTTCGTTTTTTTTCTTTTTGATATTTATAAAAATAAATAAATTTTATTTTAAAATTTTTATAAAAAATAAAAAATTAGAAAAATATAGGATCTCATTCTTATTTTAATGTAGTTTAATACTGCCTAGTAAACTAACTCTCAAAATTAGTTCCCCTAAGAAAACAAACTATCAAGATTTTAATTTAGTTTACAACATAAATTAAAGTTGTCCACCTAAACTGAACACATGGTTTGTCTTAATCACTTGAACAATTCCACAAAATTCAAAAACCTTAACTAGATTTACACATAAACTAGATTTGTCATCGGAAATATGCCAAGAGCCACACAACATACTAATTTTATTTTTTGCAGCGTCTTACTCTTTAAAAGAAATCCTAAATTTGAAAAATAAAGATTTCCTGCATAATCAAATCTTAAATTAGGTGTTTCTAAAAAATATAGACAAAGGATTTGTGCACATATTTTGGTTAGTGACATAACGTAAACTTGTCCACCGTTTGAACACCACAAACTGAACACATGCATTGTCTTTTATTGGTCAACTGATTTTGTCCACAACATCAAGAACCTTGATAGGTTCCACAAAATTTGAACACCGGTTTGGCCTGCCACACCACCTCTGGTTGGAGTAATAAAAAAAAAAAACAGTTTGATGCCAAAAATTTGATTACTGAAACTTGATATCTAATTTTGGTCAACAACTCAAACTTGATATCTACATGAGATTAACACTTAAACACTCTACAAACTACGATAACAGATTTTTTGTCTGCTATATACTAATACCTTTGGTCTAAATGAACTTTTAACTTGTCCATGCTACTTTGTGGACAAATCATTTTTATTTGAAATTCCGATATTTCCTGTGTTTGTTGGCAGCCATAGATCCATCTTTGTCTCTTCTTTCCGATTACAAATTAATGGCTAAGACAACAATTGAGAAAGTCTAAAAAGATAGAATTGAATCACTTTAGAATATAAAAAGATTGTGTTGCTCGAGTTCATCGGACATAGTACATGAACCCTTCATTCTCCATAGAATTATTTTAGAAATTGAGTTTGAAAGAGAATAAAAAGGCCACTTGAATCCATTTAAATTTTGTTTTCTTCTTGCCGCTTTAAACTATTTAAATACCAAAACAGAGCAATATTCAATTTCATTGTGTCCATACCAAGAATGGCAATCTCTTTGCTCTGTCTTTTTCTCACCATCTTGGCTTCGTTAATCTTTTTCGGCAAGAAGAAGATCAATTAACCGCTTTGATGATTCGTATCGTTTGTATAGTAGTACACCCTCTTTGCTAGTTTTTGTTCCACATGTATATATGGTCAATGCTTTGCATCCCTGTCTATGCTCCAGCTGAGATCCACTCAAGTACAAAGCTCTTCAAGTGTTTCCATATCAACAAAATGCATACGCAAACAGAAAAATAATATTTGAATTGAATATAAAATTTATTCAAAACCAAGAAACCCTTCTTTAGTGCAACTTAAGGTTGATAGAAAAAATAAAAAGAAAAGTTTTCATACATTTATGCTTACGGGACTTGCATAATGTTTTTATTCAAACATATTTAAAGTTTGTAATTTGTTCTGATCAGTGAACTCGAACTGGAACAAGCTTGAGAGGTGTTTTTTTGACAATTGTAAGAGTACCAGCTTCTTCCATATCGATATCTTTATGTGTCATCCCATCAGGAATCCTCCAATCAAAGAAGTAAAGTAAGTTCAAGAGCCCCAACTCAACAGTAGCGATCCCCATCGGCATCCCTGGACATATCCTTCGACCAGAACCAAATGGTAAGAGCTCAAAATGATGTCCTCTATAATCCACAGGGCTGCCTAAAAACCTCTCCGGGTTAAACTCTTCCGGGTCTGTCCAGAGTTTTGGATCTCTCCCTATAGCCCCAACGTTGACCAAGATTCGTCTCTTGGGAGGAATATCATAGCCTTGAACTTTGATGTGAGCCATTGTTTCCCTTGGGAGTATAAGAGGAGCTGCAGGGTGTAATCTGAATGTTTCTTTGATTACCATCTTCAAGCAAGGAACTTTATCGATGTCTTCTTCGGTGATTCTCTCCTTATTGTTGCCAAGGCAGTCTCGGATCTCGCCTTGAACTTTCTTCATCATTTTAGGGTTTCTTGCGAGCTCTGTCATTGCCCATATCATGGTGATGGCCCCTGTATCTATCCCTGCAAGAAATATATTCTACCAACAAACCGATAAAGATAAATAGATTCAATGATAGAATGCAAAAACGTGTTTAGACAAGTCTTGATTTACCGAGAGAAATCCTTTGATGTGATCTATTGAGAGATGTAAGGAATCATCGTTGCCTTGCTTATGAATCACGTCCAACATTGAATCAATGATATCTTCGTGATCTTTTGATCTTCCAGGACTCAAATGATCATCGATCACATGTTGAAACAGAGCATCAAGCTTGAAGAAAACATCGTTGAGCCTCTTGTGCTGTCCGGAAAACCAGTCAACGAGCCATCCAAGTCCGGCAACAGGGAAGAAATCAGAGCAAGTGAAACTAGCTAGGGCAGTCTCGGCTTCGAACACGAGCTCTTCGATATCTTCTTTATCAAGAAACTTGCTCTCGTGGAAACTCTGTCCTAGAGCAACTCTAAACAAGATACTTGCGGTTAACCAGAAAAGGGATTTGCTCAAATCAACCGGAGATGGATCCTCCGATAGTTTCTTTACCAGAAAGTTACATTCTTCCTCTCTGATGTGCCTAAAAGACTGAACCTTTTTCAGGCAGAAAAGCTCACGCACCGCGAACTTGCGCCGCTCCTTCCACTCTTCACCGTATGGCGTAAAACCGATATCTTTGAAACCACGCGAGAGTAGCTTTGTCCCGACAAGGTTAGGCCTGCTGCAACAGTCTAGGTCATGAGTTTTAAGAACTTCTTCAGCTGCTTCTCTTGATGAGACTATAACCACAGGAACAAAACCAAAGTGAAGAAGCATCACGGGTCCATATCTTTCCGCGAGACGTTGAAGTGACCTGTGAGGCAATTCTCCGATCTGGTGTAAGTTTCCGATGACCGGAAACTTGGGAGGGCTTGGAGGAAAATTCCGTTTAGAGTTCTTAATCTTTTTGAAGAGAAAGATTAATGAAACGAGGGTAATGAGGCAAAGGCAGAGAAAAGAGATCGCCATTTTTTCTTCGAGAAAGCGAAAATGAAAATGCTCTGTTCTTTGTTCACTGAAAAAGTTGGACACGGCAAACTTCTTGTCCATATCGAGTATTACAATTATTACGTGGAGCCAAATGGCTACGACCACTAGCAAATTGCCATGTTTCAAAATCTTGATTATCTTTATTTATCATGTTATATTATTCTATAATTAAAGAAAACTTACTTCATCAGTTTTAGATTAGATACTAGATTTTCGCACGGGAATGTTTTATTTTTTTATTTCTAATATAAGTTGCATTTATCTTTTTTTGTTTAGATATAATTTATTTTTGTTATTTATTTTTTATAATTAAAAAATTGTTATCATATTTTAATTTTAAACAGTAAAATTTGTATATTAGTAGAATAAGAGTATACATTAATTAAGTATACATTGATCTAATATTAATTATAAACTTTCTTATTATGTGAATTTAGATTTATACATAAACAATATATATATCTATGAATTTGTTAATCCATCCGTTTAGTTGTCTTAAATCAATTTTAATATCTTACATGTTTTGACAAATTAACCCGTATAGACTATAATTATAATTGTATAACCTTATAAATATTTACTAATATGGAATATTTGGACCAATTGATTATGAAAAATATAATAAGATATTTATTTACTATTTGTACTATTAAAAAAATGTGTATATATATATACGGGCTAATATGTTAGTTTAATTATCTCAAATTATCTTAATATCTTACATATTTTAATAAATTAACTCATGAACCTTAAATATATAACTCTAATCAGCTCGATCATATTATTGTATAATATAAATATTTATAAATCTCAAATATTTGATATTTTAGACCGATTGTTTATGATAAAATACGATAAAATATTTATTTACTATGCATTTTTATAAAAATATTATTTAAATTTAAAATTTTAAATTAAATCTTTCCTGTATTTAATAAATTCTAAAGTATTAAAATTATTATCTAAATTTTCGTAATAAAATTTAATTATAATTTTTTTAAAATTTTTGAATTTAAATTAAATTGAATGCAAATTTTTGTAACTAAATTTAATTAAATTTCTAATAATTTGAAATTTAAATTAAAAATGACCTAGATTTTAGGAAATCTAAAAATATCTAAATTAATAATTAATTTTCCGAAATTAAATATAAAAATAAAATAAAATATTATTAAAAAAACTTTGGGAGTGTTTGGATGCAAGCACTAAATGTGCTTCTGTTTTAATAGAATAGATTGTTTGTTGAAATAAAAATTAGATATCGTTTAAAAATAATATCGTATCAAATTTCATGTTCTTTTAAGTTTCTAATGTAAATTTTGTATTAAATATCTAATGTAACCTAATAGTAACCTTGGTTTTTGAGCTTTCTAATATGTTTTATATATTTATTATAAAACAGACAAGAGTAATATTTTCATCTATTATATTAAAACAGAAACACATTTAGTACTTGCTTCCAAATATTCCTAATTTTTTTAAGTGTTCAAAAATAATTTTAATAATTATTTATATTTAATTTCGAAAATCTATTATATTAAAACAGAAGCACATTTAGTACTTGCTTCTAAACACTTCTAATTTTTTTTAAGTGTTTAAAAATAATTTTAATAATTATTTATATTTAATTTCGAAAATTAGTTATTAATTTAAATATTTTTAGAATTCCTTAGGTAATTTAGATTTGATTTGATTTCATTAAAAATAATAAATCAGATATTAATTTAGATTTGATTTAAAGATTCTAATTTAAATAATTTCTATAATATTAAACATTTTTATCAAAAATATAAAACATAATTTACATATAAAAAATAATAGTCATATTTAAAATATAAAATATTTATAATGATTTAAATGATATGATATTTATGTTGCTTATATAATATATTTACGATTATGATTAATTTACATATTAATAATAAAATAATAGGTAAAATTCAAATGTATAATTTAAATATTAAAAATATATTTTTTAAAATTCATAGAACTAAAAATATATATAAAAAACCGGGTTAAAAATATTTTGGTAACTAAAATCACTAATTTTGAATTATACATGTATATCAAAAATATATTTTTCATACAAAATCAAAACATAAAAAAATTAAAAATTATTGCATATACTATAATGTGGTTTGAAAAACCAGTTGTACACTCCATTCGTTGATTAAATTTTAGAAAACTATAATGCTAAATAATACTGTTAATACATCTCAAACTTTTAACAAATATTTATATTATACGGTAATATGAACGAAAAAGTTAGAATTATGTTTTTATAATAGTTTATTTTGAATTAATATTAGCGGACGGGTTAAAATTATATTTTTATAATCATAATTAATTTTAATACTATAAAAATATACCTAAACACAAAAATCAATATTTTCACTTATTAAAAAATATATTTATAAAAATAATTATATCTAAACTCAAAAACCCAAATTATATTACACAATTCGTTAAACAATAAAAAATATCTCCGTGCGGATGCACGGGGTTAGAATCTAGTGTTTTTTTAAACTAAATAGCAAATGCAAAACCCAACTAAAAACAAAAAACTACTGTGTATGAAACAACGAGTCTTTATGTATAATCATTTGGTACAGTGGAAACCATGATAAAATAATAAAATAAATAAGAGGAATATTCTATTTTTAACCATCGACTAGAAACATTTATGAATGTTAACTAGCCTAAACTGGCTGAAATTAACCATAATTTCTAAGTTTTCCAAAATAACTAGGCTAAATCAGATTCAATAAAACATCCAAATTTATAAGAAATTTTGGACGTTCTGCAAATAATACTTTTAAATCCAAAATCAATCTGTTTCATAAATTTTTTAGTGAAAGCTCAAATTGCGATTGATTTGACCAAGCTTCTTCCCAATTCTGCATCACGTTGAAATAGCTACTAATGATAGTTGCATTCATGTTATTGAAAAACAACGTACATGATATTTTTTTCTTTCAATTATGCTGTATTTTTTAGAAATGCACAAAACTTGTAATTTGTCAAAAAACCATTTATTTTTCTTGCGTGGAACCACCATTTGTGTTAGACCATTCTTGCATATCCTTCATGACAAGATCTTCAAGGACAAGATCTTCAAGGACAAGATCTTCAAGGACTAGACAATCAGAGAAGCTTCATAAATTCAGGCCCACCATCACAAAGACAACATCATCAAGATACAACATATTTAGTTTAGGAAGATTAAAATCATAATTTTCAGGAATAATCCAGCAACGATGATCTGGTGATCAAATATCATCTGAGATGATCTCTTCCAATGTTTCAAATTGTATACGATTATCTCTAAATCAGATAAACCATTACTTAAAGTGTGAAAAATCCATTTAAGGACGCAACGTCAATCAACATTGCAAAGATAACTTTTCAAGAAGAGAAAGTCCTATAATGTCAAGAGAAGCAAAGATGACATTGTTCACAAAGTCATGAATTTTCACTTCCTTGTATCTTCACCATATGTGAAACCGAGACTTGATGTGAGAAGGAAATGATGTTGCCACTTCTTGGACAAAACAGAACTTCGGGCAGCCATTTTCGTAGGTAAGAAAGACACGATGTGGATGCAAAGATCAAACGGTCCATCACTAATTCAATCTTTAGCAGTAGAGACAACCTGAAATGAAAAGCAAACTAAGGGAAGTAAGTATAAGAGAACTCCAAATACAAAAGAGCAAAACACTGTTAGCTACACCACAAAATATCTAAGGAAAATGCAAAATACAAATCAAAAGTAAATATATATTTATTATAAAACAGACAGAGCAATATTTTCATGTTTTTTAATTAAATATATCTAGTAAATGCAAATGCAAAACCAAATTTAAAAGAAAGAAAACATTTAACTACTAAATGTATATGAAACAACGAGTCTTAATATATGTAGAATCATCTGGTATAGTAACCATGATACAAATAAATAAGAGGAATATCTTTTTTTTAATCATCACTAGAAAACATTTATGAATGTCAACTAGCTAATCTGGCTGAAATTAACCTCATGATTTTTAAAAGTTTTTCAAAAGAACTAGGCTAAATCAGATTCAAACATCCAAATGTTTAAGAAATTTTTGACATTCTGCGAATAATACCTTGAAATCCAAAATCTGCGAATAAGAGCATCTCCATCAATGTAATTCATGTTGGATCTCTTAAGAATTATTTAATAATTTTTTTTAAGAGTTAGAGATAATTAAGAGATTCTTGAGTTTTCTCCTCCATTAGTGAGAAACGAAGAAGCAGTAACAAAGCTTCGAAATCGATCCTCAAAATCGATTTTCCAACTTGCTCGCAATTCATGCTATGGCGAATGCATGAAGAATCAGGCCTCGGGCATCGGAAACACCACTTACGACAGTTGCGGCGAGTTCGTTAGCGCCCCCACGAGAGAAGATTCTATGAATTGCTCTGCATGCGTTTCATCAAGCGGCGACGATTTGGTGGAGAAAAGAGAAGGAAGAGGTTGAAGACGAAATTCATGGCGGAGCAGACAGAGAAGTGAGAGAGAAGGGTTGAAGACAAAGCCACGAAGAAGATGAGTTTCAAAAATAATGAAATAAAATAGTTCAATAAAATTGAAAAAATAAATAAACAGCCAATAATATATTATCACGCGTTTTATGAGACTGTCTCTTGTGCTCCTTATATAAGGAGCGCTCCTTACCAAAATTGACTCAAAACTAATTTTTTAATATTTTTTGCCTATGAAACCGAGCCACCAAATGAGTTTAAAAATTCTGATGGAGATGCTCTAATACCTTGAAATCTAAAAAAAAAATATATAGAGAGAAAGTTACTTTAGTTTCTTAAGCAAAATATATATCTATTGTCCCTTCAGGGATATCCGATAAAATTGGAACGATACAGAGAAGATTAGCATGGCCTTTGCGCAAGGATGACACACACAAATCGAGAAATGGTCCAAATTTTTGAGATAAACAAAA